ATTTTCATTTTGAGGTTTTCGAACAAATTCGATAACATAAAAACAAAGCAGGCCCTGCTTGATGCAAATTTAGGTATTTCGAAACTAGAATTTTGAGGCCTTTTAAAATCATTTTTGCAAAAGCCTCAAATTTTCAAAAAATGGCTCATCACAAAATTGCGTTAAACCCTATAAATCTTTCGAATTTGGGAGCTTTGAAAGTAGTTTATCATCAAATTTTGATTTTGCAAAATATTCAAGCGCTTACCGTTTCAAATTACCACAATCTAGAATTTTTTGACAAGTTTGAAAAAAACCATAGAATTTGCACGGCAAACGCTTTGTATTCAAAATTTCTGCAAATATTTCATCAACTACGAAGTGATTTGGCTGGAAATTTTAAATGCTGGAAAGAGGAAGAAAAGCCGTATCGGATACCGTTTAGAGCATTTGCCTGTTTACATTCTACCTAATTTGAGAATAGATTTAAGATAAGATACGAAGCTCTCATTACTTTTGACTCATCCTAGTATATTCAGAATATTCGATACGATTTAGTCGAATTACATCTCTCTCAGCAATATTTGGGTTCTTTTGTTTGGGACTGAGAATCGTTGACAACTTCACTAAAAATTTTTGAAAAGTGGTTCTGCTTTAGAACCGGTGACTTCTTTGGATTAACCAGGTAAACTTTTTGAATTCAACCAGCAGAGTAAAGTGGCCTAATCTGCTTTATGAAACGAAAGTCTTTTTGTGTGTGATTTGATATCTAGCAAATTTTCTGAAACTTCTTGGTTTATGCGGTATAAGAATCTAAATAGATGAGGGTGAGTGTTGGGAGCTAGATGTGATTGTGTGAAGATTAGGTGCGATCCCAAACGTGTGAGATATTCCCTCCCCATTGTTTTTTTCCAAAATTTTCTTTTACCAAAGAATTGCTTGGCAATTAGATTCCAAGCAGCGTTACGTGGCTTGTCCAGTACATCACACTTAAACGGTTATGGTCTCCAGTCTTAACTAATTAGCGCAATCATACGGTTCGAATTTATGTGCGTGAAATTCTCCCAGCGATGCAGCTAAATGACGTTGTTGCTGAGCGCTGTTTCGAATTCGATATCCACAAGTCTTTAATCGCTCAACGCGCTCATCGTCCTTTGTCTGTGAACAGAGTTTTTTAGTTTTCTCATTCCATGAGATCAAGAACTCGTTCTGGAATTCGGCTCTGTCGTACGCGTGTCACTCAACGAGTTTATATGCGAGGCTAGAGGGGAAGCTCGGGTATGTGGGAGAAGGATTTGGGTACAGGGTTGAAATATGAAGTTCTTATGTGATAAACAGCTGATAACTTAGCGCTTCAGATTAAGGTAATTCTCCTATATGCACATATGCTACTTTACCATACTTATTTATTTAAGGTGTAGCAAGAATTTTTTTATTATAAAGCGCTGAAATTTGTTGTTTGTCTGATCATGTGCACTCCTCCTCTCTCCTTTGCTCGTTACATCCTATTCGTGGCCGTTTTTTTGTCTAGCGAACACAGAATTACCTAAGTACGAATGAGGTACGGGATGATACTTTTATTTTTCCCACTGAAAGGCTATGCACATTCTCTTTCAACTTTCGACGAAACTTCTAGCTGCCTTCAAATTTGTCGGCAAGTGTTGATTTTTCGGAAGACTGACGTAGCACATAAACAGCAAAGATTTGACTGAAAAAAACTGCAGAGAAATGAATCCTCCAAATTCAATAAACGATCAAAATGATCAGCTTGAAAATCATATTACTATATTAGCTCAAAAACTCCTGCTCAAGTTGAGCTTTATGCGTGAATTTCATGCCCAGTCTTCCTTCATTTCTAGAGTTTTTCTATGTGAGAATATTATGCACATCTGCAAAAATAAGGAATCCCTCAGAATCTGGAGACAAATGAAATTCAGAGACAATGGAATGCCGTCATGCAATCACTTCTATTAGGAGGTGAATGGCTATTTCTTTCCCTTCAAGGTGTTCACACTCTAGTTTGCATAAGCGCTTGAAAAGAGTCTTATAGAGCTTTCGACCATTAGATCGTAATTGAAGTAGATTAGTTTGATTTTCATTTGCGTCGAAGATCTTTTTTACATAATAGCGCTTTGAAGCTGTCGCCTTGGTCATTCTATAAATGAAGATTATTTCGGCTATGCGCAGGTATGATCTCTCCTGCAAGTCATCAATATTTGTCGATGGTCTAGAGATTCATGATTGTTATTATTATCAAATAAACCATCTGAGTCAATTGGCATCAGTTTTGATATTGCTATTAGTGTCTCCTCTTTAAGGGCGAGGCATACTTCACGCGATTTCAGTCGCTACGCGATTTGGCAATTCGCCAGAGATCTTCAGATCCTGCACTAGGAAAATGCACTTGCATAGTATGTATAGCTTACGTGGATTGATAGAATGCCCTATCTTCTGTGCATTCAAAATGTGCTTACAGTGAGTTAGGACAGTTGGAATACTGTCAAATCGCGTCGCGACTGAAATCGCGTGAAGTATGCCTGGCCTAAGATGCATTCGACAGAATGAAACAGAGGTGAAGGGGGGAAGTGGATGGCACCAATAATCAGAATTGTTCGCAAGGGCGTGAAGTCGTTTTCGAATAGGATAAACGAAGAAAGGAAAATCAGTTGTGAATGGCTCTTACCTGAAACATGTTCTGTAGAGCGATTTGGAAATTGCTAATCATGAAAGTGGCCATAACAACATCGGCCTTCTAAAATCATTCGAATCATTTCAGGAAATCGATCCTAATGTCGCAACTAATCCTAATGCTTCTTCGCTCTTTGCGCTCGAGACCCTATTAAGATGCGCATTTGTTCCCAGTCCATAAAGATCTTGCGCTTTGTTGAGTTCCAAATGCGCTTGCTAATTCTACACTTATGAAAAAAAACCAAAAATGAGCACGGGTGAGTATAGCATCAAAAGAACGGACGAGATGTAAATTACTTGCTACTAATTCTAAACATCACATTTAAATCGCTTTTTTAAAACGTTTTGGACATCGGATCAGGATTAGTAATGTTAAGAAGAGCATATTGGCTTCGAGATTCTCTAAATACACCTTCTGCAGAATGAGCACAGCCAGATTCAATTTTACAAGAAATTACACCTGAACTTTGAAAAATTTGATATGGCACCTTATGATTTTACCTTATATTAGTTGAAATCTAAAAAGGCGCTACAACCTCACCATTTTCCACTTCATCGTTATGACCCAAATACCTGAGAAAAAAGGTTTACAAGCTGCTAGATATTGTGAATCTTATTGTGATTCTTCTCTAATATGACCCTAATATCATTCGTCTTGTTTTCTTTTCTCTTTCTTTTCATTGCTCCAATCCTCCTCGTAAAAACTTCGCAAATTTTTTTGTGTATTTCGTTAGCTCTTGCGCAAATGACATCTGTTATGCAATTTTTTTATGAATTTGACTTCCAGCTGTTCTCCTCTCATCCCAATTCCTCCGCTTGTAGCATTTCTTATACAAGTGGGGCAAGAAATCATATGTGAAATATATCGTTCATCGAAATCACTACAATTATCCCATCGTTCCTTTTCCAACTCACATATCAAATTTCTCTTCACATTTTCTAATGTAAGAGATTTTAAAGAAATCTGCGGCGCATAATGAGTCAAATTGGTTGTTAGTCTACAAGATCAGCATATCTAGATTTGCAGAGATTTTGCTAAAGAAGTGGATGTGCGTGTGTCATTGAGGATTGTGTAAGCTAGGCGCTGAGCCTGTTCCAACCACAAGCGAAAGAACACGAGTGTCAAAGAGATTCCTAATGTTCTTCTGATAGCACACGCCCGGTTTAGACGTTGGAGTTCGAGCCATTATCGATTCATTAGCATTTTTGCTTGTCTTCGGATAATTTTCTTTAATTGGACAATCGTTCAAGCCGAATTCGTGGTGTGGCTAGTGAAACTGCAACGATAGTGTGCAGTGCTGTGATGTCCTCCTTGCTTTTCTGCTTTCTCCTTTTCCAGAGAGATTTTCAATGGTTATTGTTCTAGCATAGTCCAGAGCATAGTACCTTTGGCCTACTTTCAAGTAAGAAAAAATGTTTTGTTATGAACATAAAATCTGCTGCTGTATCGTTTTGAAGACAGTTCAAATCAGATACGAAGTTTTGTAGAAGATAACTACATCGCTCAGTTTTCTCATCTTTTTATGACTTCCATGGAAGTGTTAATGTAGGAAATAATTTTCTTTCCTTTTATTATAGTTCAGTTTTACTGGTTAAAACCCAAAATCTGAATTACTCACCTTGTCTAACAGCTCTTCCATGTACTTCCTAGCCTGCTAAGCTTTTTCCTTTGAGCGAAACTGGACTGGGATATACTTGATGAGTTTGAAGGTCTAAGATCGAAGTTTAGTCGGCTTAAAATCACAGTACGTACTGTAGGCATTTTACAGAGTGTACCATACATAGTATTAATAATCTTTAGAATCGATTAGCAGGATCAGCTGTAATGAATGGTCCAAAAATCGCTTTTAGCCAGCGCTCTCTGTACTCGTCATCAAATGTTGCTTAATGATTCAGGCAAATATTTTATACTTCTTAAAAACTGGATAAGGACGATAGCTCTTTTTTTTTTCAAGTATTCATATCACAAAAGCAATAGAACAATCCAAATCCAAACTCTGTTTTTGTGATTGTTGAAATTTTTATACAATATTTATATTTGAATGCTTACAACTCAATTCTTTTATACAAAATCAAAATTAATCTCAACTGAACCTTTGAAGTCATTGCTGCCTCTTCCTCTTTACTGACTTGTTGAAATACCTACTAAAAATGTGAGGGCTTGCCTCATGCCCATAGCATAACCTGTTTACTGTTGTATCCGCTGCTTCGTAGTTACCTTGTGGACAGTAATTGCTAGCCGTCGATGGCTCTCCTCTCCACAAACTCGTTTCCATCTCTGTTGCTGAGCTTCCTGCGGAAGTAACCAATTTCCATGTTGCAGATTCCATGCGATGACCCAACTCTCACTATGTCTACTGCCGCTGTTGGTGCTCACACTACAAGCCGAGGATGCACTGCCACGTAAGTTGGTAGAATTTGAATTCTCGATCAAATTTCCATATCATATAGCTGTCCACTTTTGCTATAATCTGCAGTAGTTTTTGAAAACTGCTAAGCGTAAAAGCGAACACGCATCACTCCTTTTTTCTGGCTCCAGGATACTGCATACAGCTTTTACCAAGACTGTCTTTATTCTCAACACTTTTTATGTAACAAGTCAGGAAGCTCGCGAAAAAAACTGTGAAAGTTGTTTCTTATAGTTTCATAGCATTGCGGACGAGTTGCCGATATAGAAATCACTCCCAAGCAAAAAAAAACTCGAAATTTCCTCTTCTTGCATTCAGAGAGAGTTCTCGCAATTAGGCAAGATCATTTGCTCATCTGCTATCAATGCCGCAGGGTAAGTTAGATTCAAATGACAGCTGGCAAAATTCAACTACATATTATATGATCAAAGCGCGTTATTTTGCTTTTCACGAAAAAAATTCACCGTGTTTATAAAGTGACCTTTTTCCAAACCATGCCTGTTTTTCGTGTATCTAAATTTTCAAAAGGTACAAGTACTATTAAATGTAGCCAGAAATGCTCTGTCGAGCACCGTTAGTCAAGATTGGTTATGAAACTTTTGTGAGGTTTTGTTTCGGTAACATAGTTACATGATCGCATTTAATGGAATGCTGTCCACACGATGTATTGTAGCGGCATGAAAAGTGTTTTACTTGGGAGAGAATCTGGGTTTTTTCTATGTTATCACAGTAATCGATAAACATAGGATATAGAACTTTGGCAGGTTGAGGAGCAGATAATTATCCAATTGGTCATATTAGGGCACTTTGGAAGTCTACTGAAGGCGTGCGATTGTTCAAACTATGTTTCAGCGTGCTTCTTCCCTGAATCAGAGTCACGCTCGTTTTTCTACGACGTCGACAGCGACGTAGCCCCATGGACAGCAATCGCAGAGTCGGTCGTCGACCCGCCTGATGCTCGTCTTCTTCTGGCCTCCGTCCGACCGGAACACCCCTTGGGGGTAGGCGGTTTTGAGGTCCACTTTTGCTTTCTCTGTTTCCGAATAGGGTCTCGTACAGCCGATTGCAGATCAACTTCACCGAGCGGTTCACGCTGGTGTCGACGCCGCACGGGAGGTTCGCGCTGCATTCCGTGCTTCCGCTGACCCTTCCGCCGCAGGTCAACCGAACGAAGCTGTTCGTGACCGTCGTCTGCAATGACGAAGCCTTCCCGCTGTTCACAGTCAGGGTCACATCCAAGGATACTGGCAATCCACAGTTTTATAACGAGCCTTACTACGTCGACGTCAGCGAGGTAACAAAATTCCAGTGAGGGAGTGATGTTCTCAGAGTGACGCCTAAAAGTATGCCAAAGCCTTCTGGAACTTACTATTTCCTCAAAACCCTGTGTCGTAATACAAATTTCTAGATTATCTATAGGAGATGCACTGTAAGTCCTACTTCATCATAAGCTGCGTAGTTTGAATTGAAACGTATTAGCAAGCCAAAAAGACGTATTTCGTGTCTAAATTTTTCGTATCATAGGCGACTTATAGATGAGCTGTCACAGTAGCTGAATTCTAGGAGCTTTCTCGAGGTGCACTGCAATTTGATTGTGAAGCTATGTGAAGCTTCCTCAGTTCAAGCACAAATTTTCAATAGAGGCTCCAAAACTCACCCTCTTTAATTTAGCCCTTATATTGATCTTCGATTCTTATACTATGTATCGTTATCACTCTTTATCACCTAAATTAAAGCTAAAAGGTCTTTAGAAAAGAACCGTTTAACATAACTACATAACTACGATTGGTTTTTTATTAAAAAGATCTTTGAAACTCATTTTAAAAATATCTGTGTACAACGCTATTTTTTTAACAAAAGACATGAAAGCATACTTCTCAATTTCTACTGAATATCGTAGAAAGTAGTATAGTTTCATAAAAAAAAAAAGTTTGCAAGTTTGTTGCAGACGGTCAAAGGTGAATTTATTGTTTGGAAATAACAAAACAGTTGAAGATAATTTTGGCTTTACTGTACAGTTCGGCTTTAGTACATGCGTTTCATTTAATTTTTAGAATGTAGAGCTGAATTCTCATTTATGTTATTTACTTTACTCTTACGTCAGTTTATTCTTATTGTTGACTTTTTACTGAGATATAGTAAAGGCAAAGTACTCGCCTGATCTTAAGGTTTTGTGATATCGGAATTCAAGACCTTACATTTTTTGGCTATTTATCGAAGCCAGAAGAAAAGCCTTAAGGCATTGTGTCGAGGAAAAAACTGATTTTTGCAGAGCATCCAGGTCGGCGAGACTGTGATCACACCAATTGTGGTCGTCGACTGGCACTCGGAAGATGCGGTTCCTAAACTTCACATTGAGGTGAACCTAGTTCATAACTTTTCGAAGTTTCAAGAAGTTATTGATTTATAAATTTTTATATCTCCTTTTCACAACGCTTTGAGACAGCCATCCTTCGTTTTCAGGACGCTGACTCTCCATTTGAAATCATCACCGAGCTGACAAATTCCTCCTCCAATCCAGTGGTCAAAATTGGGTATAACCAGACGACCACACGACAACCTTCGCGTGTACTGCTGAAGCTCGTGAAACCAATCAAACGCCTACCATTCACTTTGAGAATCGTAGCAGGGGTATGAGTTTGATGAATAACTAAGGCAAATCCAGAATTAGGATTTTATCCCCAATCTCGTCTTATAAAGATTTGTTAGCCTTCCAAGTTTGCCTAGTCTGGTCTTAGTCTCAAAATATAAAAATGTTATTTTGCTTCATATTGACGTCGGAAGCGCTGTATCATCTGTCGTCTTCATAATCGCCTGAGAGCAGCTCCATTCCTTTTCACTTTTAAACGAGCGCATTCTCGCGTTACAAGTTCTGAATCATAGCTCTAGACGAGAAGCATTTTAAAAAATCAGCATCACAATACAAAACCACAAAAATTTGCCACAACCTGCCTTTGTTTGCTGAATTTTCGTGCTCTTCAAAAAAACAATGTTTTGTATCGGTAAGGAAGCAATTCATTTGCGTTTTTAATCATGTAATCTCCATAAGATTTTTTTCATTGTCCCTGGAAAGGCCTAGAATAGGGGTTCACTCCCGCCCACTGAAGAGCTCAACATATTCGCAAACAAAACAAAAGCACTAAATTTGCAAGATAAATATCATGTATTACGCTATTCAGGAAGAATAGCGAACCAGCTAAATTCAAGATTTTCCTTTCGAAACGGTCGCAGTAAATCTAAAGGACTATGTATAAATGTCTTTTCAAAAAGTTCGGAATAATTTACAGATTGTGGTGAATAAGCAGGAGAGTTAGTATCAAAGGAGGTGTCATATGGTTTGAGAATTCAAAGCGAGATGAAACATGCGTAATGCTTTAACAAAAAAAATGGTCTTGTGATTGAGCTTTATACAAGTTTGCGTTTGAAAATCAGCAGAGAAACGGTATTTACTAATCAAAATTGATTTTGTGACAACAGAGATCAGATGCAATCGATCAGTTCATATTTTCTCCAATTTTCTACGAAAGAAAAACCATGAGACGAAAAAACGATATTTTTATCGTATAACTTACTTCAATTCTCGACTACATTTCTCACCTAGGATGTCAACGATCGTACTCGAAGCACTTCTACATCGATACTGATTAGAGCTAAGCCAAAGGTTGAGGAGCTTCCAAGTGCTCAAGAGAACCAAGTAAGTTTATCGAAGAATATTAACTACCTTGCTTGTAATTGCAGTTTCGAGATGGGAACCTATTTTTCAGAAGGTGACAAAACTACCACGCACAGATGAGGAAGAAACGATTATGGATGACGGAAGTGGTGAAATTGAAGAAGAACGCAAAAATAAGCTCAGGATTGGGCAAGGGCTCAGTATGGCCTCTGATGATGTGGAAACGTCCACTACTCGAACAGAGACTGAAACAGCACAAGAGTCTGAAAAAGAACAAGAAGATTTGGCTGTAGAAGGAGAGGAGGTGGAGAAAGCTGTCGAAACCGAACGAACTACGGCTACTTCCGCACAGGTGAAGAGATCCAGGCCAAATTTATCAGTTCCAGCTAATCAACAGCTCCCGAAAGAGTCTGCATCTTCGGCCCAAAGTTCTGAAAATGAACAAGAAGAAGACGCAGAAGAAGACAAGGTGGAGAAAGCTACCGGGACCGAAATCGTTAGAGCCACTTCCACTCAGCCGCCAAGAGCTACATCGAGGTCAAGCTTGCCAATTTCAGCTGGAAAAGAGCAACCCAAGGATTCAGCATCTAAGACCCCTAATCTTGAAAAAGAACAAGAAAAGGACATGGCTGTAGAAGGAGATGAGGCGGAAAGAGCAATCAAGCCGGAATCAGGTGCACCCAGTTCAAAACAGGCACCAAGAACTACATCGCGGTCAAACTTACCGGTCCCAGCTAATGAACAACCTCCGAGGGTGCTTGCGTCTCCAACCCGAGGTTCATTATCTCTGGCTGAAGAAACTACACAAAATACAGGCTCTAGAATAGCTCTTAGCGCGAAAGAAGATGAATCTAAACCGGAAAAAGAAGTGCGTTCTAATGGATTGGTTTCATCGACTTCGCCAACTTCATCCGAGCGAAGAACAACTAGATCTTTCAAACGCATCCGGCACAAAATTGCGCTCCCCATTGCGAGAGCAGACCCACCAAAAGACCCAGATGCTACTCGTTTTGAAGAATGCGCCATTGCTGTGTCATTGCCGGAGAATAGTGAACCAGGAACTTTGGTGACAACTCTACACGTACTAAATAAGAAAAAGGTAATGTTTCTGACTGGTTAAAGCTCATAAAATCAAAATTGCTTACAGTGGACAATGATTGACATGGTGAACCCAGATGGGACCTTCCTAATCCGGCAAGATACCGGAGAAGTCTTTGTTCGCGACAATCGCCTTATGGATAGGGAACTGTTCAGTCAGCTAGAGCTAGTCGCTGAAATTCATGTATGTTCTAGTTTTCATAGTTTCTTTTCGGACCAAGTCTCTTGAAGCAATCCAAGCGTACATGGGCTTTTTATCATAAGGAAGATAATTGGCAGTCCTTTACCAAGCCGTCTTTCAAGCGGCAGCTCTTACGATTCATTCGTGGCTGAAATGCTCAGTTTTGAACTGCAGCCCAGACCATCTTGCATGATGCAAATATTACGGTCTGGGCTAGAGTTTCTGCTAAAATTTCTCGAACACGAATGCATCATTCGAGATTTGGGCCGTTTGGGAAGCAGCTTAGTCATATCCTCGCAATCGGCATATAAATAGAAGTCCATGCATTTTGCCTTGACTATGCTTTCTAAATAATTTTTACAACACTTATACCTTATTTTATATTACTAGGGCTCAAGCCATATGACAGAATGTGCCCGAACTCGCATCAGCGTGGAACTTCTCGATGAAAACGACAACAAGCCAGCTTTTGACAGAGAATCGTTCGTTAAGACTACCTATAGACGACTCATATCATTTCCTGAAAATCACAATATGCTTCAGGTATACATTCATCGTATCGGATCGGATTCCTGTAGAAGAAGCTGTGGGAGTGGTTCGTGCGAGGGACATTGATGAGGTAACTATTCTTTTCTGATAAGGGTTTTCTAGCCGCTTGTGAGCTTTTCTGTGTGGAAGAAAAATTGTTTCTGAATTTATGTCTAACAAGGGAAGGATCCCAACTTAAGGTGGCAAACTGAATGAACAGCATACCATTCGATGTGCCCTGATGAGCTGATTCCAAATCTGCCTTCTATATTTACGATGCCGTTCTCTGGAAAAAGTTATGAGCGATTAAATGTGCGAAGTCATTTGGATTGCGGTGTATAAAGTGCTCCGATATCCAATTTTTGAATGCATGAGTAGCATGATATTGTTGTATTGATTTGAAAAAACTGCTCACAATTAAGGAAACGCAAAAAGTGCTTTTGATCAACTAATTCTTGAGAGCGCTATATATATTAGGTTGTCCCGAACGTTTTGTCCGTTTTTTCAAACCACTATAAAACCACGCGCAATAAAGACCTGAACGATTTTCAGGATCCATTCGATGCAGCTTTTCCTTCCCTTTCTGACGGGTATATTTTCGAACCAAAATCTTGTATACTTCTTTTGATAATTGCCAAAATTCCCCACCCTTCAATTTTATCTGCTCCAAGATAGGCTAATATTTGGAATTCCGAAGTTTGGGAAAGGTTTAAATATGCATCAAATAGAGCAATTCTCGGTCTACAAGGTGATATGTTTAGATTTTTTAATCTGCTGTCTTTGATTTGAAAAAAAAATGTTTCTTCTGAGGTCTCGATTTTTGGCTAAGTCATGAAATACGCAACTGCAGCAAATATAAGAAAGCTTTTGAAGTCCTTGCGAATTGAAGCATGATCCTTATCAAACATAATTTATGCAACATAACCAAGTTTAATTTGCTTTGCAAAATCAAATTTTTGGAATTTTTGGTACTTTTACGTGATGAAAGTAATCAAAAAGCCACGGTTTTTATTAAATAAATAGTTATAACGGACGTGGTAAACGTGGCTCATGTAATCTAAAATGGGTACAATGTAGGCAAAGGTTTGCTCTACCTAACAGCTAACAGTGCTCTTTGAAAACATCAGGATAAAAATTTTTTAAAATTCAGTAAAGATTTGGCGTTACCGCTGAGCTGCTCAAAAATCGTGGCGATAACTTTGCAAAGACAGGGTAGATTAGCGAGCAGATATAGCTGTAAGAAAGAGGATAAAAATCTGAGTCAAATGGTACCCAAGTCGTCTATGGACATGTATTCTGTGAGTTTTAGTAAGCGATGAAAAAAACGGACAAAACTTTCGGGACAACCCAATATGATAAATTTAGACTTTTCATTGCTCATAGCTTTTAACAAAGAAGTTTAGCTGTTTTTTAGCCTTCAAAAACAATTATTTATGTTTTGATTGTGAGCATTCCTTGAAATTACTCAATATCATGCCGGTCATGTACTCTCAAGTTGGATTTTAAAGCACATTGTGCATTGAAGCCCCAATGGCTTCACATTTTTAACCGCTCATAAATTCTTCAAGAGAAGGGCATCGCAGAAAAGGAAGGTAGATTTGGAATCAGCTCATCCAGACGCATCTAATGATGTGCGGTTGATTTCACTTCGCCACCTTAAGTTGGGATCGTTCCCTTGTAAGCCGTGTAATGGAATAAGATAGAAAGTATTGAGTGTCCAAAAATTCAGATCTAAATTGGCAAATTTCTCATTAGATCTGTAGATCCTTTGCATAGAATTATTCAAAATGCACCTCTTTGCTCTCTATTTTCAGCGCAGATCTCCTTCCAATACTTTTGCCTCCCAAGACCATGAGAAGCCTTACTTTGCTTGCTTTCTGCAGTTAGTAAACTTGAAGCCCAGCAAAATCCCAACATGTACTTTGTCGCTCTCAAAAGCTTTTTATGTGAAATGGGCATGTGGTGACTGCTTCAGTATTCAAATGGGAAGTCATATATCAAAAGCATAAAGTGGGCTGAAAAATGTGATTTGAGAATTTTACTTTAGGAGAACGTGAGTAGTCATTTTCTTTTTGCAGGATTTAGCTGCAACAAGGCACATTTTAGAGCACGTCCTCATACATATTATTTTCCAAGAGAAAATTGTGGCGTTAGCCTACCGTCACGCTCTATGAGCGACAATATTTCGGTTTACTATTCTTCTCATTGCAGGCAATGAAACTGTTATGCGAAAAGTTCTAGAATTTTCAAGTTTAACCTCAGCTAAATAGCATTTTTTTTTTCATGACTCGGACTCGCCTGTGCTAGAGGCGAAGGTACCAAAGAGAAAGGCCCTTGGAAGGACGCAGCGGTCACACCTTATGGGACTATTTTTGTTCTTTTTTTGCATGGGTTTCAGAAAACTAAGAATTTTGTTGACTCGGTATGAAGTACGCCTGTAGCTTTCTCTCAGAAAAAGTCAAAAAAAGTGAACGCCTGTTTTTACAAGGATTTGATAAATTGTAAATAAACTAAGTGTATCAATGTGTGACCTTCGACAAGCTACTACAGCCATTTTGGAAGAACGTCTCGGGAAGAATGAGTGCGCTGAATTCAATGGAAGATATTTGTAAAATACCATTCTATTTTTGGCACTAAATTCAGCAAAAATCGTGATTTAGGGCTTGGCAGGCAGAGTCACGTACCGCATCGTCAACGAATCGGTCCCATTCAAAATCCGAAGAAAGGGGAAAGATGGCGAAATCATCACCAAAGAAGAACTCTTTGGTCCAAGAAAATATCATTTGTTAATAGAAGCCCACGATAATGCTCCTCCCTTTCAGTAAGTTCGTTCTATTCCCAAACGTAATGTCAACAATCATTATTTAAGGTCTTCTCGAATTTTCGCGAACATATTTGTCACCGCCTCTGGAAAGCCGACAACTACTACTACTGTACCTCCTTCGACGGAAACAGCAAAGCGGAAAAGAATCAACGGAGTTTTATCTGCTACCTTAGAGCCTCTGGATCTGAACCTTATCACGGAACCATTGAATGGGAGGGAAGCTTCTGCAGAAGCAAGTTTGATCAGATCGTCGATCGCTTCACCGACTTCGGTAACGAGAGCTTACCGCACACTGAAAAGGATACTGAGGACATCTACTATTGTGACCACTGCTACTTCTCCAGCAATGACTACTACCGTACCCACCACGACTGCTCCAAGGCCTGTGCATCCCACATTATTGAGCCATGTGGATGATAAGACCAATATGGAAGCGAACTCGACGGACACTTCCACGACCTCAACAGAAAGCAGTGAGGACTACTCGAGCAGCGAATCTGAGGAGGAACCGACCTACAACGGAGTAAGCACTGGCAGCCGTATTATAGATTTGTTCTTTTACTTTGAGCTTTTAGAACTTTGCATTCGACGAACCCTCGTACTACTTTGAAGTCTTTGGTCCTCCTAGAGAAGGGGATATTCTGGGAAGAGTCGAAGCTAGACCAAGAACGCAGATGTATGGCTTGGAAAGAAATGTGGGTTTAAAAACGAGTTTAAAAAATTCTGTTGTTTACCACATATACAAATAGCTTCTCTACATCAGTAACATTCATTGCAATTCTCTTCCTCTTTTCTGTGACTGCCAAGCAGATTTTTTTTGAATTCTATCTGTCGTGGCCATCCTCACCTAGAATCCTGCCACTGTAATCGAATACAGGTGAATGTAAATTCTTTGACCTTACCTTCTCAAGCGCCCTTGGTCCATCAGTAAATCTCCCCCTACCCCTGAATGTTATCCTCTTACACAGCTCTTATAATGCTCTTGGTTGGTCACCGCTGAGACTTCCGCCAGGTGCTCATATTTTTTTTGAATCTCTACTGCCTAACATTTATGGCTTTGAACACCCTGCGGCAGTTTCATGATGATTTTCCAGTAGAAAGAAAGCTTCGAAGACCTGAATGTTTGCCCCTGAGGCTTGATAGAAAAGAGCTTGCAAGCAGAGTTCACGCGGTTTCATCGTCGCGATTGATCGCGACAAGTCAACTGTAACAATATCACTGCATGCAATCTTCTTGCATTTCGCTTGTGATAGTTTTCCAACACGACTAATCGTGACTAACTATCACAATCGAAATACAAGAAGATCAGCATGCAATGAACTCGTAACACTTATCTTGTAGCGATTGAATCGCGACGATCAAATCGCATAAACTCTGCCCGAGGCCTAAGAGAGTTGGGAGCAAACATTGATCTCTTGCGTCAAATTGATGTTTTGCGTTTGCTCTGCCAATCAAATTTTGTGTTCAGCCCCATAAAATTTAAAAAAAAGTTGCGCTGATGGGAGAATGTAAGTTTTGCGTCTCTGTAAAATATTATATGATTTTGTTTGTCCGCATGCTTAGTGGACATAAAACGGTCTCTTTTGAATTCGTATCCTGACCGACGCTGAAGAAAACGCACTTTTATAGAAAACACTTAACTGATTTTCCATCTGCTGGTTATTATTGGGGCGGATGCAAATCTGCACTGTATAGATGGCGCTAGTTTCTAACAGGAGAAGGATACTTAGTCGAAGTGCCGTTTCCACATGAAACGGATAATGTTTCATAGAGCATGGAACGCTGATTCCAAATCTGTTTTCGATAACTGCAAAGCGCTTCTGGGAGAAGATTTATAGGAAGTTTTTGAAGTATAAATTTAAGGGTTTGGCTAAGGTAAATACACATGTTCAGGTCTTTCGGGTGCATAAAAGGAATAATGATTAGCATGAGTTTATCAAACTGAGGATATTAGTTGCATAAAGCGTCGTGGCCGTAATCGTGGCCCCATTCTTACAGACCACAGTTCTGAATGATTTTACTGTAGCCGCGAGTAAAGATGTCTTCTTCAAAAATCCCAATAACCTTCTACCAGAAGCGCTTTGCAGATAAGGAAAGCAGATTCGAAATTAGCGTTTCATGCTCTGTGAGAAGGTATATATGTCATTTATAAACGACACTTCAACCAAGTATCTTCCCTTGTAAGTTCAGTATTAGCTGTGTCAGCTTTCAATAGGTAGGACGAGCAGATTAGAAATTGGCTGGTCTACTTGAGAAAAACGCCGGTCTTCATACCAAAATGCTCTAGTTTGCACTTTTGATACTATACATATGCAATCACAATAATTTCAGTACGGAGAGCTCAACTTCACTTGCGTGTCAGTTTTGACACAAATTTTGGTATTCTTCCCTGAAAGGGAATAGATCGCATTGATTTTGCCCAAATTTGAATTTTTTTTGAATTTCTGCATTCCGCGCAAGTTTCTATACCTTTCTTTCGAGAATTAAGGTTTAATTCATCATAATTTCGAAAACTGCCATTCTCTGTCGTCGGCAAAGTTCTTGTGTTTTTGTGCTACAAGGCAGGAGATGAACGGTGGTTAAAGACAAACTTACGCTTTAATCGTTTCGATTAGGATAACCCTTTTTGATAGCAGTAATGCAGCTAAATAAATGGCAAGTCTCAGCTGAAAAGGAAAGTCTACTATATATTTCCCAAGCTAACATCAATCCACACCACCATCAGCGCTTTTTGTACAGTCTAGTCTGCGCCATCCGGAAGTGATCAACTCGATCTACGTGCAGTTTTGTCGTGGATAAGTAACCCGTTCAGGGAGACATTGTGGGACAATAGAGCTACATCATGTATCACTTCTTGCTATCATACACGAAAAGGAATACCAGCACATACCTGAGATGAAGCATATGTTATTTTTGTAGTTCGATTACTAGCTATTATCACCAAACTAGCCGATATTGCCAGACAACGGGATATCCCAAAAAATGTGCCTATATCAAATTGCTAATAACTCTCTTGTCATTGAGTCTTTCGAAAAGCCTTTGATACCATTTTGTAAAGCTGGCTTCAACTTAGATTTACAGTATGAAGCAATTTAGCGATTGCTTTTCATTACTGGGTCGCTGTGAGAAAGTAGTCGTTTGAATACTTTCTTAAAGATCTAAAAACTTGTGTGATAGGGTCTTCATGTACGCCGAGTTTGGTGCGCAACTTTATACAAGACTGTGAAGCTTTTTAAACGGTGTAACCACATTTTTTGGCAACATCGAAAAAATGGCTGTTAGTGCTTCCGTCTCATAAATTTATAGGAGGCATCATAGTGAGATGCAAACTCCATATGAATCAGCAGCTTTAATTTGCCTGGTGTGAGAGTTTCCAGATACTTTTCTTTCTTTTCTGAGCCAGAATATGACTATCGCTCAAAACCCTCTTAAGTTCTTGCCATAACCCTACAGTAATGAAGAACGATGTGTAATTCGTTCCAAACGTGAATCTAAGTTAAAGATAGCTCTACAAAATGGTACCTAAAGCTTTTCCAAAGACTTCATGACCAAAAAAATCAACAATTAAACAGTAGGCACATTTTTTGGGAACAAATAAAAAAGTTTTGCCCTTCGTGCATGTTAAACACGCCTAAAAATCATTCTATCAATACTGCAATCAGATTTAGAAGTGGAAAAATTTTCAGTCACAAAGTCCTTCGCTCTAGACACCAAATAATCACAGAAAAACTCGTCGAAGCAAGATCTTTTCTTATCTTGCGAACAATTCGCAAACGCCACATTGCGTAAGGTGTACGTGGTTTGTAAACCGAGAAATTGGGTCCCGTGGACGATTAAGAACCTCTTGATCCGCATTTGGGATAGACTAAATATATATGATAGCGTCATTAATGCTGTCGTATAGTCCGTTACCGTACCTGAAAGTAGTTTGCAGAATTTTATCTTGGTATTTTCATTTCTCTGTAAAAGATCGCAGCGTAAGAGTTCTCCGCTTATTAAATTTACTTGACTAAAAAAATCTTTATTTCCATCTTAAAGGAGCGGGTGAAGCATCTGTCCCTATTTTTGCACTCAAACAATGGCGATTGCTGCACAACGGTCTCTTGCAAATGCTAATTACAAACCAAAATTGGCTGGCCTGACGAAGGCTGGGCTGGGTGGCGCATTTTTAGTAAAACTTGTTGTACCGACATTTTCAGGTGACTATGTCATTTTTGAGTTCAATGAGAATGACGCAATCGCTTGCAAAACAAAAATAAGAAGAAATTTTTCATAAAATTCAACCTATTTGCGAATATTCCCTATTAGTCTGAATCATGAGTAAACTGAGTTGCGCGTTTATAAGAGTTTGCGGACCACCACTTATGCGACTCGCCACAATTAGACCTTCTTAACGTGGATTAGTCTTCTTTTTATGGTCTCAGATCATTTGCCTCCGATTAGATCGTAAATCTTAAACACCGATTATTTAACCTTACAGGTCTCTGGTGCCTTCAAAATTGATCCCGACATTGGTGAAATCTCCGTTGGTCGAACGCTCGGACGTCTTGCGAACGGAAATCACACTTTCGAGGTTTCTGCCACGGATGGGCTGCACACGGTGAGCATCCAGCATCAGCATCCTTCACTGACCACAAGTGCATTTTGAAAGGGTGGCGCTAATGGCGGCGGAGGGGGGGGGGGCGAATTCTCGGGTCGCGTTCGTGCTGTCTTGGCAACGGCAGACGACGATTGGCTCTGAGTAATTGCCGTCTCGCACTCGGGGTTCAGCTCAAAAATTGCCTGCTGAGCTTGATTTAGCTAGCATGCGTGAATAAGCAGTTGCTTAGGAAAAGAAAACAAGAAACATGAGAAGTAGAACATGGGGTTTTTCTGGTTACGGTAAAAATACAGTAATGTCCAGGACAACTGGTATTACTGGCATGGCGAATGATAATCTTGCATATATGAGAATCTTTCTGGTAGTCACAAGCTCATAAAAGACCCTACACTACTTTTAAGAAAGGTAGTCTATTCTTATTCGGAACACTCAAGTCTATACTTTTTGTAAATGCAAAGAAAACACCATGCTTTTACCTATCGCTATAAGAGATAGAGATAGTTTTTAATTTAATCTTACTTCAATTATCTCGAGAAAATTACATTTTCTATAAGCAGAAGGTGGAGAAGCAAAAAGTAATTGATAAATGGAAAGAATGTGCGCTCAATATATTGCTGTCAGCGACGAGGAACCGTCACAGGTCTTGCTTTTGAAGTATTTCCAGCTTATCAAGTTTTCTTGTATGTCATTTATTTTCTCTGAAGCAAGCGAGTGCATTTTATAAATTTGACTAGCTTCTATGATGTGAATTTATCAGATAATATCATCTTGGGAGAAATCTTTTTTCCAAAATTTACAGATTAGTCGAGGCGATATAGCCAGTAGCCATTCATCAAATAATGTCATTCTTAGAACTGCCATGTTCTGAGAAAGTTGCGTAAAATTCCCTGAAAAATTGCAGATGATTTTTTGCCAAATGATAGAGGTAGCTGCTGACTTTCTTCAAAAGATTTGCACGGTCTTGTTATAAAGGTGGCCCTATATTGCAAGTGGTTTACATCAAAGCGCGCCAATTCAGAATAGAAATGTAAAGGATTAAAATGAGAGACGCAAAAACATGTGTCGGCGGGCTTATCCCTTGCGAAGTTTCTCAGATCGTTGCAGTTGAATAATAACCTTTCGAAATCGGGGATCGAGTGCGTGTAAGCTGGCTAATCCAGACGATGACCCGGCTTTCCCCGTGGCCACTGCCCTCGTTTCCTCTTCCTCGAATTCGCCGGACCCGTTCGCGGATATCGCCGGCGATTAGGCGACGCGCTGGCGGCTCTGCAGCCCCTCAAAGGGGGCGGGCGGGGGCCCCCGCCTCGTCGCAGCTTCGCAAACAGGTGGTCGACACGCCTTTTATGCCCCACCACCACTAAATAGTCGTTAATCCGATGAGTTGAGCTCGCTCTTCTATGAAGAAATTGTATTGCGTCTATGAATTGATTTTACTGGTGAGTGCTGTCTTGTTCTCTTGTTTATTTCAACTAGTGTAGTGATTTTTGCTTTTTCGTGATTGAATTCCTTTAAAACTAGCATGAATATAGCCCCTTTTTTGAAATCTTCAGCATTATTCAATCGGAAGACTTTCAAAGTGATGAGAAAAGGCACTAAAAACAATGGCAGTTATCTCCTTTACCCGAAAGAAAATTTCCATGGATGCATGACCATTCAAGGCAGCAAGATTGCAACTGGCTTTCTCACCTGAATATACATATTGAATCTAATGGAATAATTGGAATATATCTGCATTGCTACTAGATTTTTTTCGGAGATTTTGTTTTGCTTGAAGTGGCGGAAGCAAATTTTCCTTGTCAACTTGGCAACAGTGGTTGCATTTTTCGAAGACCAAGGGTGCCATTTCGCTGGTATGAGGTTTCAAGAAAATGGAGTGCAGGTTCTTATCTCAACTCCGAAGTCAGGAAATTTGCTTACGAACGATTCGAAAAATCATAGAGTTCTTCTAAAATAGAATCTGTTTGCTTGTCGGGTATCATCAAAACAACTTGATTCATGGCTCCTAATGCAATTTTTCGCTAAATAATCTCACAAGATTTGCTGATTATGCCATTACTCACACGGCAAGTTGGACTACTGCCAGCTGTATGAGCAGAAGCGGTGATGGTGTAGATTCGTTCAATCACCTGTACGTTGTTTTGCTATCGAAACCATCTTTTTAGATTCGGAACAACCTTAGCAACCTATTGCGCTTCTGATGCTTCATAATGGCTTTGAAAGAATTGTATAAAGTTCTGCTTTCTTCCAAAGTTGGCCTTTTAGCGACCCACGATGTCCGGGACAATTTTTGATTGCTCTGACTCATCCTTTGAAGCTGCTATTAAAGAAATTAGCGTATTTGGACTTGCTTGACATTGTTTCTTCTTCTGCAGACTCCCGGAGATGATTTATTGCTCATAAAAATTTCTATAGTCTTACGCTAAAAAAGCACAACGCTCATACAGCATTTTGAGTCTATCATGGGAATTCATGCAAACGCGTCGTAAACATATGGTTGCTGCAGCTGATTTAGAACAAGAGTGGTTGTACGAATCTGTTTTTTCAGGCCTAACTATTTATAGAAAAAAATATAAATCTCTCAGTGAGCTGGTTTGGTGCGTTACTATCTCAGAACAGACTTTGCAAAGCTTTTTCATAAAATTTAAGTTAGAAAATTCGGAGGTGAATTTTTCAAATTCTTCTTCATTCTATGTGCATCTTCTTTCCTGAAAATAATGTTCAATGAATGTTTAAATCATTCAATCTCAAAATATTGAAAGTAACAAAGAATCCACCGTAAGACAAGTGTTTATCTACTCATTAATCTGATACCTTGGAATATGAAATAATAAATTTAAAAAAAAAATAAGAAAAAAATAAATTAAGAACATTCATTTGTTACAGTTAATCTGTAGCATTTTGGTTTGTTTTTCTTTTTACATATCCATTCTCCCTATATTTGAGACTGGCTGGTATTATGCTTATTCGAATCCGCTTTTTTTTGTCCAAAGGTGCACCATGACTGTATTTCTGAATAAAATGAAATAAAAATAAAAATAATTGATTTAATATCCTTAAATACGTGTTTTGAGTTAGTAAACGTTGAAAAATAGTGTTGGTACAACATCATAAAAAATTTTTAAAATAGAGTCGAATTTCGGAAAGTCTAGGCCTTGTTCCAAAATAAATTGAGGAAAAGCACTAAGAACACTCTGAGAATGGAGCTCTAAAAAATTAGGATATGTCACCCTAAACTTGCAGCAAATTTTTGCAGCGTGATTCCTTATTTTCATTTCAAAGTGCATTTTTAGGCTCAGACTGTTGTCACAGTACGTTTGGACACTCGACGTAACAGAAACGAAGCTGTGCCTCGTTTTGAGAAAAGTCGCTACGTTTTTCGTGTAGAGGAGAATCGACCTCCATCCGTTGTCGGAGTAGTGAGAGTGAGTTATAAACCGTCACAGAGTCATCTGTTCCAGTTCCATTTCGCTAATCCTAGGCCTACCACGTAGCCCTAACTTCGGGAGATATATCGCTTCGCTATGAACTTATCAATGACTTTGGGAATCCTTCGTTGCCCTTCCGTGTTCATGGGATTTCGGGTGAAGTGACCACTGAGGCGCCGCTAGACCATGAAGAGAAGAAAAATTATGAATTCAAGGTGAGCTGACCTAACTTTTGTCCCTTCTCTCAAAGAATTTGCACTTCAGATCCGTGCTTGTTTGTCTGTGAATCCAACAAATTGTGGCTACACTGCTGTCGTCGTCATAGTAGATGACCTCAACGACAATTCGCCCCAGTTCCCAGCCACAGAAGTGCAAATCTCGCTTCCAAGTGATCTACCAACTGGCTCCGATGTCATCACCCTTCAAGCTACAGACGCGGATTCGGGGCCCAATGGCGACGTCAACTATGCGATCAGTCCTCCTAGTGGTCAGTTTTCTTGGTCAAAAAATTATATAAGTGTTTGATAAGGAAATTTTTGCGTACATAGGTTTTAGATTCAATACAACACTGCATTTGTTTTTTTTCTATTTTTCCATAGCGTTTGTGCGACTTTTACTTTTAGTTGACCAAATTTCTATAATATTTGTCTCGATTACTGGAATTTTGACATTTTTCATTGCGAGCTTCAAAAAAATTCTAAGACGAAAGTTTTAGAAGTGTTCGGTATCGACTACCACACCGGTGTTGTGCAAACAATCGCTCCCCTGACCGAATCCCTGTATGAGGTTGAGGTTGAAGCCTTTGACCATGGAGACCCAAAACGAACAGAAGTTACGAAGCTGATCATTTTTGTGCATGGCACGAATCCTTCGGCTCCTGTATTTGATGAGGTATGGAAGCTCAAATTTCAAGCAGCAGAGTTTCAGCTGAACAATGATTTGAAAAATAGTTGAAAGAAAGGCATCCTATCTATTTTGTAATTTTGTGTTATTTCTCAATTCAATTCAATCTAAATGGTTTAAGTTAAGTCGAAAAGTTTCGAATTCCTTTCGAAATGAGGCCACGCTGGTTTTGTGTCTGTCTCCTAATCGTCTCCCTTTTCTCGCTAGTTTTTCTTCCAGCATACCTAAAGTTTTTGTTCAGCCTTCCCAAGTACTCAGCTTGAGCATGTACTCCTGGAGTAAAGCAGTCTAGTCTCCCATCTTCTCGTATTTTATTTTGTGAGCTTATTATTAACTTAAGAACGCTTGCAGTTAAGCTATAGAGCTTTTTGATCCTTAAAGTTTCTAGAAACTAAAGATCCTTTACGTCCACCTTCTTAGGGGCGAATTAATATCTGTTTTGCGATATTTTTGCTAACCCAAATCTCATGGTCAAGTCCCGGGCAAAATATGTAAACATCTACTGCGTCTATGTATAAACTGATAATCCTTCCAATAGACCAAGAAAAATTGTTCATTTCTTTCGCATAAATTAGGCCACTTTGCCTTTGTCTCCTTTACCATTCAAAGTGCAAAGTTGTTTTCAAAATCAGTTCATGATAATTCGATATATGGGCAGGTTTTTGAGTTTATCTTTGGTGATCAGAGAGTGCACAAGAAATGGAGTTCAAAGTGCTTTTTTACGACATCATTTACTTCGGAACAAAATGTTGTTAACTATCAACAGAGGCATTTTACTCCCCAAAATGTCTTTAAAAAATGTGGCTATTCGATGTTTTTAACGGGGTTTCTCGATCGCAAATCAATTGAGAAATCCTGAACCTTGACAGCTCATCAAGAAAGTCCAAATTCAGGTTCCTCATTGTCACATTTCTAAACAATTTATGAATTACTCTGCTGGTATTCCTGCGCAGTATGTGGATGTGCAGTCGGTAAAGCAAAATTGATTAAGGAACAAACAACAACAAGTTGAAAAAATTATACTAAACATTACTTTCGATTCTCACTTTACTTTTCGAAATCGGGCTCCTTTCCTGTTACAAATGTAGCTTTGATGCCTTTCTAGATTAGGTGCATAATGTGCTCCTTTATATCGTTTTGGAATTCTTCTGCTCTGGATCAGCTTCTGTAAAATTATCCATTCATTTTGCTTCTTTCTGGTGGTGCTCAAGTAGTTTTTGACGAATAGAATTACATGGAGATGCTGTTTTCTAAAAGTACAGCATTAGTGCTAGATCAAGCTTTATCCCTGAATAATCTTTGATCTGTTCCAGAAACGATACGAAGTTACCGTAACCTCTCCAGTTCGAGCCGGCTCAGTAGTTGCAAAAATGCATGCGAAGGATCCTGATCCGGGCCTAGAGGGACAAATCACATATAGGTTCGATACAACGGATAGCCGGAATCAGGCACATACAAGGAAATTTTCGATCAACGAACAGGCAAGGGTTGCAATTTTTCGAATTGAGTTTGATAATACTGTATCATCCCACTTTTAGACCGGTGTTGTTTCCGCTATAGAGCCTCTAACAGCAAACGATGGACCATTCGATTTGGTTGTGATCGCGGAAGATCAAAGTACTATTTACAAACGAAAGGTAGTTAAAAATCTAATCATCTGAGGCTAGGAAACAGCTCAGCAGTGTTACAGACTACTGCAATTCTTCATATCGAAATAGTGGGAGACACATCGTTACGGTTTCTTCCGCTACCCTCCACTATTTACATCTCAACGGAAAAAGCTGTTGGAAGTGTAGTTCTGAGGTTTGTAATGGTTTTATATGCTTTCTAACCAAGAATCGACTTTTCTTTTAGAGCCTCTGCCTTTACTGCCTCGTCAATGCCCGTGCATTTCCGAATTCTTGAGGATGGTGCTCCTTTCGTGATGGATGGCGATCTGCTCAGAGTGAGTTAAATTTCTCAGATAGTTGCCTTCCTAGTCAATCTTCTCTTTTGAAAATAATTACGTAAGGGGAATAAGCAATTTTTAGGTGGCCTCACATTTGTCTCCGGGCGAAACTAATCTGACCGTTCGGGCTGAGACTGATAATGCTCATTCGGATCATCGGCTCAAAGTGGTGGTGATGTACGATAGGGATAAGTACCCAGTCTTCCCGCAACTTACCTACGACATTGACGTAAGCACATTATACAAAACATGTTTTTTATTCCTTCGCAACAATCTCCTTTGAGATTTTGTGCGTGGCCAGAAAAGCCATTGCATAAGCTGAACAGTTCTGCTTCTTATGAATACATCTGAAAAGACTGGGGAGAAACTTTATATCCCTTCAGGGTCCATGCGTGGAAAGCTATTTTATGAATAAAAGCTGTTACGAACATAGTGATCTTCGAACTTGGGAATATCAATCCTCACTGTATGGCCTTGCAGGTCCAATATTTCCAAAGAAGAAACGCAAAATTAACTATAAGGATTCTCTAGCATCTTGCAAAAAATGAGCTTAATCAACTCTAAATGTGAGAGTAAGGTGATCTTCATGCGGCAAATACATAGCTATGAAAAGTTACACAGGAGCAATACCTAGGCTTTCAAAATTTCCGTAAATCAGCTACCCATAAAGAATTCCCAACAAAATTTCATCGTATTCCGCATATATGGTACAAAATGTGAAAGCCTATTCATAGTCCGATTTTACTTAACTTTACGATACTTTGTGTTTTTTTATATTTATTCAGTACCTCTTAGATTATCTGATCTTACTGTGCTTTTAGATCCCCATAGACTCTGTCTTTCCACTTACTGCTCACCGATTTGATGCTCAACTTCTGAACGGTACACTTATGTACCGTTTCTTCCCAGACGGCACAGCTCCAGTAGGCCTCTCCATACATCCAAATTCGGTACGTTCGCTTTTCCATATGACAACTCATTATTTCTTAACTTATTGTGATTTTTATGATTTTCAGGGCGAACTCATCGTAGATTCCGTGTATGCTAACACCCCCTCGAACCATGACACTCAGTTTGTTGTAGTTCGGGCGATAAATTTGAATTACCCGGAATTTTACTCAGATGTTGGGGTAGGCATTACATTTTAGAATTTCTTGCTGATTCGGCAGAATCTTCCTTTTATAGGTTGCTATAAGCCTTGTCTCCAGCAAATCTCTCCGTTTTCCACAAAGCATTTACCGAATGCAACTTATCGAAAACACACCGATAGGCACCGCCCTTTACCCACCGCTTGAGGTACACTGTTTTGGAAAAATAATAAACAGAAAATACCACTGCTAACAAAATAAGCAGCGATTTTCGGGGTAATTGCGTTTGGCTTTCATTTTCGACAGGTGACAGAAGTCATGTGCAACGAATAACCACAAAATTTTTATGGGTATTCGTCAACCCTGTTGTTACCTAAGCTGCGTTGCCTTAGCAACGCTGAGGCCGTAAAATTGCCGAAAATCGGGGGTTTTTATCATTTAACAAAGTAATATCTACCATGTGATCAGGCTTTCACAATAAAAACTTTTAGGTTTTCCCTAAATCACCCGGTGTGACCTACACTATCAATCCTCCCACACCTCTCAGCATTCTGTCGAATGGCACACTCGTGGTCAACTCTGCCGTCGATCTGGAACAATTGCCAGTTGACCAAAGCAGCAGTTTGCACTTCATCGTGAGTTTATTTTATTGTTAGAGGTCATGGGAAGCTTGGAGTTGGGCATAACCTTTGCAGCATCGGCTTTCTCTTTGCTTGCTAATCTTCTGAGAGCATTTGTACATCATTTGAATTTGATACGATCTTGTTTGCGATCTTTTTATTGATATATGAGGCGTGGGGCAAAGTCCAGGGTTGGTGGGGAAAAGAGGTGGGATGGGAGCAAATTTTGGCATCTTTCAAACTATTTTCCTTCCTTGTTTCTGTAGTGAATTTTGTAAAGCAATGCAACGTATAGATATATATATATTTGTTTAGTATTTCGAAACTCCTGAAGAATCTTAAATTCATGTTAGGGTTGAGGTAGGAGGAAGTTCTGAAAGTCTGGGCGTGATTTTATGTCAGTTGATGGAATTATCTCGTAGACGCTGCTTTCCTATATTAGAAGCTTTGAAAATGTCTTGATTTTCTGTCCATTTTAGTATATAACTTTCAAGTGCGATCGGTATAAAGTTATTTCCTTGCTTTTTTTCACTAGAACATGAGGCCTGGGTCTTTTAAATGCCGCTTTTCCACAAAACAGCAATGTTACGAATTTCATCTAGCTAAATTAATAATTCCCACACAACTGCTTCATATCAATGTTTGTTTATGTTCAAACCTAAATTTCGAACAACATTCGTCATTCGTTGCGTCTATCTATCTGTTTGTTCACTCAATGCTGAACATACAAAGGTAAACGCTCTATAGAAAAGTGGTACTTGTCCATTTAGTCTATTTTGTCACTCTCTTCCGTGAAACCAGATTTTTAGCCTGAACCAGTATTTTTGCGCAGACTCTGCAGGGTATACTAAAAAAAGTGAAAATCCATCATCACTGAATTTTGGAGGAAAGTCAAATTATGAACCTGCTTGAAATTTTTTTCAGCGTCTCGTGCTTTTGAAGATGATTTGATCAAAGTCGTATAGTGAGTTATCGTAGGAAAGAGGAGTTTTGACTTTCGATTATCGTTATTTCTCAAATATCCCAATCACTATTATTTTAAATTTCTCTCATCTATGATAACATTGTTGAAATCGTAATTATGGTACGTTTTCCCTTTTTCATATCCAACGTCATTCTTTAAGCAAAGACCGGGTTCATCGTAAGCTGATGAAAATATATTATCATGATTTGCTTGGATAAGGACCATTTGGAATTGTATCTTTTGAGGAACAACAAATCAGGAGTTCGAAAATAGTCTCTTCATCTTTTAGATCACTGCGACCTCGGATGATGCCAAAGCAGCCGCGAAATTGCAGTTGAAGATCAAAGATGTCAATGAATTCGCACCGGAGTTTGAGAGTGCTCTTTACGAAGCATCGGTACCCGAGGACGCCGTCCCCGGAAGTGTGATCACGCAGGTACGAGCCTCGGATGCCGACGGATCTGACGGAACACATCTCCTCTACAGAATCGCTGGTGGTGAGTGACTGGTTTTCAATTTTCTTTCCTTCAGCTCTTTGATTTTGATTGCACGTAAAGTGCGCCTGCTACAAGTCAGAGAATACAAGCAATAATCATCAGCACAAAAAAAAAACGAACTCAAGACAGCAACAAATCAATGCTATTAAGGCCAGCCGGGCATAAGATTCCGTCTACTCACATAATTACGCTCATAATTACGCTTACTTTGATCTCGTTCAGCACAATAATGAGCTTTATTTACTATTTACTTTACATTATTATCCCCTGCCTACAATTTTTGTGGTACCTACCGTAGCCCTTACATGCACCTACCGTAACTCCGTTAAAACCTACTGGAGACGCTACGGTAATAGCATGTTAAAACACCCTAGAGTCAAACAGATTTGCTACCTTTCTTGTCCTGTAGAGGTGTTTACATATCAAAATCCTGTCATTTGAATCACTCTGGACCACCCTATTGTGATTAGATTGGTGATTCGTTCCATACCGCATTTTCAATCTACTCCTTACCTATGTAGCTGAATACAAACCTCCCTTCTTAGGATCTGGTCGAGAACTGGTGTTCATACAAGAAGACGGCACATTGATTTTGGGTGATTACGCTTTGGATCGAGAGACTCTGAAACAATTTGATGTGATCGTGGAAGCCATTGATAACAGCGGAAACAAAGTGAGACTGATGAAGAGCTTTTGCATTTCCTCAATCCTTGCAATCCCTTTCAGGATTCAACAACGGTCCGGGTAACGATCGAAGACCGTAATGACAACGCTCCCGTCTTTGAACATACTGATTTGGTGTGGAACGTCACCGAAGGTTCTCCTTAAACCCTCTGCGCCTATGGCAAAGTTGAATGCTTGACTTGCTTGATTTTAGGATCACGAGATGCCACATTAGAGATTGTCGCAACGGATGGGGACACTGGAAGAAACGGAGAGGTTCACTTTCGATTGATTGGCGGTAATCAGGAGCTTTTCCTGATCAAAGGGAAGACACCGCACAGTGTCAGTTGTGTTTCTTTTACGATACGATTTTTGCTATTCGTTTTTGTTTATTTACTCATCATATTACTAAAACATGTAAAATTATCAGACTTTAGACTGAAAAGGTGTGAAATCAAAAATGCGGTATAAAAGTGGAAAATCAGAACATAGTGAAATGGTCAAAGCTAATGTATGTAGTAACGTTATATAATGTCAGGAAAAAATGTATGCAATTTTTGTTTCGAAATTCGAGAATTTCTTCCATTGACCAGGTCTGCGTAAAAATTGTTTACTACTTATGAACAATTTGTCTTCAGGCTGTTCTCAAGCTCAATGGTCCCCTCGATCATGAGACTCAAGCTACGTATGACCTTACCGTCGAAGCGAGGGATGGAGGAAATCCACCGAAGTCAAGTACCGCTGTGGTCAGAGTGAACGTCATCAATCGCAATGATAGTCCTCCATTCTTCAAGAAAATAAACTACGAACAAGAAGTAGGCAGTATCTAATCACTCCAACTGCACCATCTTCCTCCTTCTCTGTAAAAAAATGGCCTAGTTTTTCAGGTCCCATCGAACCTTCCTGTTGGCTATCCGATACTTACCCTGTCGGTGAATGATGCCGATCGCGATCGTGTGTCTTTTTCGGTGCTCGGGGACAAGAGATGCTCTTCATTTGCGGTTGATCCCAATGGTGTCGTTTCCTTCTCAAAACCAGAGTCCAGCAGAAGTGTTGGAGAAGTTACCTGCATTATCTCTGCCACTGACGGGGTTCACACGTCGAATGCTACACTGAGGCTGAATATCTCCGATGCACAGCAACCGACTATGTAAGTATATGCAAAGTTCGACACCAAGATTCCAGAACGTGAAAGAGTTGTCTTACTGCTACGAACTGTTACCATTCTTAGTTGTTAAATATCAAAAAACTATGTGTTTGCGACAAAAGGGATTCCGGAAAACTTCCCGATATTTCTTCGTTTAGAAAAACTCCCCAGAAGAACCACCCTCCACGATTCGCAAGTGAAATCTATACGGTTACGGTAACACCCGATAAGGATGGCCAAGTGCTGAAGAAGGTGCGCGCCACCGATCCCGACGGTGACGCTATCAGCTACTCGATCGAACCTCCAGAATTCAGGAACCTTTTCAGTGTGGATGCTGAGGTATGATTTTGCAAAGAACTTTATGAAATCATATTTTTTAATGAGAAATATATAATGAGGAACATAAAAGTGCGCATCATATTCAAGAAAGCGAATATCACCTTCATTATATTAGGTTGTTACATAAGTCTTGTTACACTTTACTTCTTACGGCGATAAGTCATACACCTCATAATCTTTACAGGGCTGCAGAATACCACTCGATAGAGCAAAGCAAGCTCTATAAGATGGTGTGCAAAAATTCGCACCAACTTCGATCCGCTATAAGTTTGCACCCAAGATCTGAGTAGTAATGAAAGCTCAAAAAGCGCGAAAAATTCATATTTTTGTTCAAAAAAATCCTACGAACTTCCAACTCGCTCATAAAAATTGCACACTATATCAGACACTCATATGTGCCGTTGCTGTATTTTTTCCTCATCTAGAAATCGAGAAAACGAAAATTTTCTTGTTTTTACAAAAACGAAGCTATGCTGTTTCTATTTATGTAGCTGTATACTACAAGCCCTTGTATAACCGTAAATTTTCAGCTTTCCAGAGGCCCTAGTTTTCGAAAAATACCGAATTTAGCTTTTTCCATTCGGGTGTTCAATGCTAAATTAGGTAATTTTCGAAAACTAAGGCTTCTAGAAAGCTGAAAATTTACGGTTTTAATTCTAACGGCTTGTAGTATACAGCTACATAAATAGAAACAGCATAGCTTCGTTTTTGTAAAAAACAAGAGAATTTTCGTTTTCTCAAATTCTAGATGAGGAAAAAATACAGCAACGGCACATATGAATGTCTGATATAGTGTGCAATTTTTGTGAGCAGACTGGAGATTTGTAGAATTTTTTTGGTCAAAGATATGAATTTTTCGCGTTTTTTGAGCCTTCAGTACGACTCAGATTTTGGGTGCAAACTTATAGTGGGTCGAAGTTGGTGCGAACTTTTGCATACTTTTTTGTAGAGCTTGCTTTGCTCTATCGAATGATACCCTGGAGCCTTGTCAAGAGTATGAGGTGCATGACTTATCGTTGTAAGAAGTTGAAGTATAACAAGACTTATGTAACAACCTAATATAAGGTTAAACCGAATGTTCTTTCGCACCATTTTCGAAAAACCATCACTTCTTCCCGTCACAAGGATTTTGCGAGATTCAAATTTTATCAGAAAGCGTAAAGCGTGTAGTTTCTAAAAGTTCCCTGGGGACTTTCTAGCATGCTCAGGTTGCAGAGATAAAAATGAAAGAATGAGATCATCCGAAATTCGGAATTTTTAAGCAAAAATTCTAAAAATCTAGAAACTGGGCGAGAAAATCCAGAACAGCCATCATCTTAAGTTTTCTTATATTTTATTACTAACTGAGTCACGTTTATGCTGATCGAGGTCTAAAAACGTCGAAAAATCAGTTTCCTAAGACATTTTTTTCAAAAAATCCTAACTCCTGAAGGAAGACCTCGATCAGCACAAACTTGACTCATTTAGTAATAAAATATAAGAAAACTTAAGATGATGGCTGTTCTGGATTTTCTCGCACAGTTTCTAGATTTTTAGAATTTTTGCTCAAAAATTCCGAAGTCTTTCATTTTGATCTCTGCAACCCGAGCATGTTAGAAAGTCCCCAGGGAACTTTTAGAAACTACATGCTTTACGCTTTCTGATAAAATTTGAATTTCGCAAAATCCTTGTGACGGGAAGAAGCTATGGTTTTTTGAAAATGGTGCGAACGAACTTTCGGTTCAACCTAATAGATTGATTATTTTCGTTTCTGTGGTATTCTCCATCACCTGATATACCCCTAGTCCTGTTTTGACATAGCATTCCCCCAGTGATTGAGCAATTTTTGAACCTCTAATCTGCAGTCGCTTCAAACAGCTCCAAAAATTGTTTGAAACCTGTTTTCTGAAAATTCACAAAGTCGCTACACAAACGCGACCAAACCTTTGTGTTTGAAGGAAGTCTTGTTATTATCATTAAATCAGTAGTGCTATGCTTTTTATGAAAATTGAGCTTCGTTGTGCGAATTTGCGGATATTTTGCTGATTGTTTGGAATCGCATTCTAGAAATTGCATAAGTCCAAAGCCTCAAGTATCCACTATATGAAATATTCAGAAAAAGCAGTTGAATGCGTAGTGTCTGAGGCGGCGATGAAGCCCATGTGCCACCAAAATCTATCCGTAATTTTTTGACTGATAAAATGCTCCTTAATTGCTTTCCAGGGTCGAATCACCGCCCGAGTTCCAATAGGCGAGCTCAAGCAAGCAATGTATAGCTTCCTCGTGATCGCCGAAGACGACGGCAATCCTGTGATGACATCTTTCACCAACATCCGAGCTAAAGTGCCTGAGAACGAAAACCACGTTGTGACTGCGAATTCGCTGGAAGGCTCTGCCACTGTAGTCACAGATACACCTATCACCCGGTCTTCATCAGGCCGTTCAAAACCTACCGTCAGCCAAACAAAAAGCCCTACTAATGTCCAAAGCAGCAGAACCACGATGAGTTGGGTGAATATTCGACCGAGTATGTCTACAACGACGTCACCCATTGAAAGCACTGAAGCAGGTAAGAGCTGCATTTTTTACTCGTAAGAGCTCGGCACGAGAAAAAACAAAGTGTTCCTTGACTTTTCCAGAATTTCACGAAGTCTTCTTTGACCTAAACCGTAAACGTGAGAGAGTCTAAAAAAACGAAAAGGCTATCAAAAAAACGTAACCCCAGTTGTGTTTTTTCGGCCACAAAAACGATATCCAGCTTGCTTGTAAGCCACCTGTGCCGAGCTACAGATTGTAGCGGACTATAGCATTTGCGTTTTTTTGTAGGGAAGCATTTTGCGCTTGTTGACTGGTGGCACAAAAAAGGTAGATCAAAATAAATTATCTTTTGCTGAGCTCTGCTAGTATTGCAACCATTAAACATTTATTAGGTTGATGCAAAAGTTCTTTCGCACCAAATTCAGAAATTCATAACTTGTTGAATTCTCAACGAATTTATAAGATCTAAATTTTGTATAAGAGAGAAACTCATGCTCTTTGCAATGTACTTGAACTCTTCGTTAATGTATACAATAATTCACAAACTCATTATAAGTCATATTGAGAGCTTTTTACTCTGTTTTCTTCTTTTTTTTTCTCACTCATCAAACACATAACTCTAGCCATAACGTGGAAAATTTCGAATCAGCCAAAACATGACAGTCTCAATTTTTCAAAAATTTGGGATTGACAGCAATCATCCTGCATTATATTCAAGGGCGGATCGCTTTGAAGTTTTTGCAATTTTGAAACTTTGTGCTCTTACGCGCTACACTATTCGTAAGGCAGACACTATTCTAAGAAAACTAAGACTGCTTTAAAGAGGAGAATGCCGAATCAAACGATATCTAATCCGCTCGTGTGTTGCCGTTTGACCAGTCTAAAAAAAATTTTTTTCTCAGAACGAATTAATAAATTTTTCGGTTTCAACATAATAAAGAAAATATTTTATTAACAGTAGATTTTTGAAAGGAAAAACGATTAAGAAAACATTCTCTGTAAGCTCGGCTTCCATTGTCCTTTTTTTCCAGCATCCAATTTTAAGCTGATTTTCAGCTATCTCATTCAAACGTCGAAAATACACATATGCTATACGCACCGACTCGCCTGTGGGTACGTACCTTGGACAAGTTGAAGTGAACAACAAAGATGATGTCGGATTGGTGTTCGAAAATACCAGGCAGTTTGAATTTGACAAAGATGGATGGATTCGTTCTGCTAGTCTTTTCTCTTCCCCTGACAGAATTCAAGACAATATTTTGGCTATAAAGGACGTAAGTATAAAATTTTATCTTCTTTTATTGAGTGTATTTTTCGCGGCTTCATTTCAGGAAGAAGTAGTTGCCACAGTTCCATTTGTGGTTCACATTCTTACCCCTGAAATGCTGGGCCATTCCACTTCACCAAAACCATCTACAACTGTAAGGACTACCATGGCAACGGAAACTAGTGTAGAGACTTCAGAATCCGAGATCGATGTGCCGGATCTTACCACCATAAAAAGTGTTTCTGTCATAACCTCGCGAACGACGGAGCAGCCTTCTACAGCTGAGGATTTCACTTCTTCCTCTCCTTCGCCCATCCCAGCAGGAGATGCTCAGCTATCATCAACCGAAGAATCGGCAACCTTTCCATCCTCTCACCCTACCGATACATCCGAAGAATCCCACTCCTCCTCTGAGCCAATTTTCGTTCGAACGAAATTTCCACCGCTTCAAATTACCGAGGTTACAACCGTAAAAGTACAGCGTAGCACATCAGAAGCCGAAGCAACTACGGAAGCTGGCATGTTTGCCTTCAAAAGGTCCATGTATTTCGCATTTGTACCTGAGGGCCAGTATAGTAATGGAATCCGTCTTTCTGTCAAGCCAGAACCATTGTCGGTCAACAGAGACACTGAAGTAAAGTATGAAATCGACGAAAATACGCACAACATTCCGTTTTTCATCACTACTGACGGTCAACTCGTCGTTTTTGACGTCGATAGAGAAAAGAAGTCTTCTTACATGTTTGGAGTAAAGGTAAGTAACGCAAAAGAAAAATTTTGAGTTTTTTAACAATTTTTTTTAATTGAAGGCGACCAGTCCCGAATTTGGAGAAGCTAGGACTACTATAAATGTGACAATTCTCGACACGAATGACAACTATCCCATATTTGCCGAATCTCCGTCAGCACTAGGAATTTACAAGGACATCGCCGTTGGCACTCCACTTTTCCACTTCAATGCTCAAGACAAAGATGCTGACAACTATGGTGCCATCACTTATGGATTAGAGGAACCAGAAAGCCCTTTCGAAATCAATCCTGATGGTGAGAGGTGAAAGTAATTGAATTGTGTATTAAGATGGGCTTTTTCAGACGGTACGCTCTACATCGCACATGCGCTCGATTCTACTCCCGAATACTCGTTGACTGTTTTTGCACGCGATAATGGGAGACCTTCACTGAAATCAACTCAAAGAGTATGGTGTAGTTTCTGTCTCAAGATCAACTTATCCACTAAGATCTGTCTTTAGGTAATTATCAATGTGTTTGATCCATCAGTCGACACCCCTCAATTCCAAAAAGAGCAGCCAGAAAGTGTCGTATTCTTTGGAACACCACCAAATTCAGAAGTTGCTACCATTTTGGCGGGACCCACCCTCAACACCAAACCAGACCAGGAAAGGATACTGTACAATCTTGAGAATAACTATGGGTAAGTGCGCTGGTGACTTTGTAGAGCAACAGTCATAGATTAATTTTCAGTGGCTTATTCGCGATAGAAGATGGAGGACGAGTGATTCTTGCACGTAAACCGACCGAAGACGAAGTGGATCGCTATGTTCAGCTGAACATAACGGCTGAAAATAGTCAAGGAACGGACTGGACAACAGTTGGTCTAGCTCCTAATCGAACAAAAAGTTTTGATAGAAAAATATTCTCAAAAATGTAGCTTTTGTAGTTACGGGTCATTCCATTAGTCACACTTAACGAAAAGAATGCTCAAGACATCCTCAAAACATTTTCTTTTGAAATCATGTGAAAACTTGTGGATTTGTGATATATGCAATGTAGTACATAAAAAACCCAATTTTCTTTTGGTATCTCCAAGTTAATGGCAAACTTTTACCTTGCCTTAATGAAGAGCCTTAATAACTGCCTTCATATTAGTAGTGGTGCTCCCAGACGTCCACGAAAAATACTCAAAAAATCATTGCTGGTTGACGTGCCGTTAGAAAAATGCTCTGTATCTGCTGCAACTTTCCGTAACGAAATTGTTGCCAATTAACAGCACTTCCTTCTCCACACATGCCCAAATAAGGCCGACTTTAGAGTTTATCGGAGGAAGGCAAAGAAAGTGTAACAAAATTTATGTGACAATGTATTGTCATGACTTCAAAGCATATATGGGCAGATAGCTTTCACAAAATCCAAACTTGAAGTTTTATTCTCGAACTCAAAGTGAATATTTTAGTTGAACGTGTTCCTCGAGGGCAACAACTCCACAACCACCTCTACGCAAAAACCTACGGACAATTCAAAATGCTACTTCCCTACAAAACTCTATACCGCCGAAATTATGGAAAACTTATCCGGCAGAAGAAAGCTAACCAAGGTTACATCAAACTGTGAGATGGAGGGTCGCCCGTACAGTTATTCTTTCGTTTATCCAACTCGTACGTTTTGTGCTGGACTATTTTAGCTGTAAACTGATAGAATTATATTTTTCTAGAACAATTCGAGTTGAATCCCAAGACTGGTGAAATATCTGTGATACTTCCACTGGATCGCGAAGAACGCACTTATAATTTCCTCTATATAGACGTCTCTAGCGAAGATGAGAGTACTCCTAAGCGTGTCGTAAGAGAAAATCCAATAATCAAAAGTATGTTGCTTTGTTTTTAGTTTTGCTATAACCGCTTTCGTCAAAGCTCATTTTAGATGCGCAGGCGAAGTTGAACTACTCACAGACCTTGGTAGTCGTACGAGTTCTTGATGAGAACGACAATGCCCCAGCCTTCTTACATGGAGCAGATGACGACGACTCCTTGGTTGCTGTGGTCGATTGGCAAGCTCGACTATTCAGCCCTGTCATTCGGCTAGAGGTAAACCTTGAATTTCGTTAGTGATAGGATTTTACGCAATAATTTTCAAGGCCAAAGATGCAGATGAACACGCACAGCTAAGCTACTCCTTATCCGGTACAAACTCGGATTACTTTGCCGTGAACGCAACGTCTGGCCTAGTCGTGCTAGCGAAGTTAATCTTGGATTACACCGGAGATTCGTTTCAACTCACTGCCACCGTTACCGATGGTATACATATCGTACCTACGCCGCTCAGAGTAAGTCCAACTTTCTACAGTTTGCTCCATACAGTAGATCATTTTTTTATAGATGAAAACTTGATACAAACCAATAAGCAAAATACATTCCCGAATATTTGCCTTGGGTTGGGTAATAATAGCACAGGAAGAACGCGAATGAGATTGTAACCAAAATGTACACGCTTCATCAACCTAGGGGAAATTACGATTTTGTTTCTTTTTCGTTAAGATTGACCCAAACGCCTTGCCCCTAGACTTACGAGATTGTTTCTCGTTATGTTAGAAGATTCTTTTCTGAAAATCTTCAAAACAAACTATGCTATACTTTGATGTATAATTGGTCAAAGATGTATTAAGCCAAATTTTTGGAGGTCCCCGCCCCCTCCCCCCCGAGAATGGGTCGCGAAATTTTTGAAAGTTACTTATATGGGTCGTAAAAACGTGCAAATGACTTGTTAATACTTGTAAATAATTAAATCAATTTTTAAAAATTTTAAAAAATTCAAATTAGCCTTGTAAAAAAATTTTTTTCGGGAGCGGTGGCTGGCGCCCCCCCTTTTTCCAGATTTTAGGGGTTGGGAACCCGCAAAAATAAGTACCCCTAAAATTTTTTCGGAGTGCATGGCTAAAGCTACGCACTTTCATTCGAAAAAAATTTCTGTCGCGCCCCCTCCCCCCGAGCGGAAATCCTGGGTACGCCACTGGCTTTTCTCTAATTACCTCTGTATTCTTTGACAGGGCTCGGCACGAGGTGGCTAGTCGGAAATGCAAAGAACGAAGTCCCCCTTGACTTTTGCGAATTTTCACGAAGTCTCCTTTGACTCTGGACCATAATCCCTAAAAAAATCTCCAAAAACGCCACGTCGACTCAAAAAAAGTCGCAAATTTGGTGTCTCTTCGGCCGCAAACAAAACCCCCTTTGCTTTTTGTCCTAAAAACTATATCCAGCTGGCTTATAAGCCACTCGTGCCGAGCCCTGTTCTTTGATTGAAGGGAAATTCTTTACTAGATAGCGTCTCAAACACACGGAGAAACGCGCTTTTGCGGTTTACATTTTCTTCTTTTTGGAGAGATAAAGAGTACATTAAAACGCATCGAAAAAGATGTTTTTGCTAAGTACTGAAACAGCAACTGAACAACGAATTTGTAGTTGGCGTGCTCCAGAATCATTCTGTAGAACCAACATTCGGCTTCTCTGCCGACGTTATGTAAGAGCGTAAAAATATCAATGAATAAAGTGCCTACTTGAACCACTTCTCAACATGTCTACTTGTTTTCGATCCAAAAAAATGCTCACGAAGCTCCAGATTGTTTGAAACTTCTTCCTGACTGAGAAAATAACTTCCAGATCTACGTAATTTCACCATCATCATCGCTTGTGCAACTCACTTCCGAGGTTCCCCATTCCATGATTGATCAGCGCAATGTGGAGCGAATGTTGAACGAGCTCAATGGTCTGGATAACCGTCTTCTTATCAAGCAGCCTTTCGTTGACCAGCAAGGTCATGCAGATCCCAAAAGGTCAGTTTTTTTTTAAACTTTACGCCAGAGCTGATGTGGATGTCATATGCTACAATGAAGTTTTTAGATCACATCTTTTTGTGTACGCTTTGGATAAAAAGACAAGGATACCGTACCTGAAAGAGGATCTCGCCAAGTGAGCGATTTATCCAAACTTCCAAACGAGAACCTGCAAAAAGACTTCATTTTTTCAGAGTCCTGGAACACCATGCAGCTTCACTCCTTTCATCGCCTTCCAAAATCTCCGAAGTGTCTCTGCTCTCCCCTCCGGCTACCCTCTCGGCTTTCGATCTTACCCTTGCTATTCTATGCATTTTGCTCGTTCTTCTCCTTCTTGCTGCTTGCTGCATCCTAACCTCCTACTGTAAAAAGTAAGTTAACAAATCCAATTCCCCATCAGCTCTCCAAATTCTTCTGTTCCAGGAGGCGAGCCATTGCTACGAGCGATCGTGAGTATATGGTATCCACTTTAGGTGGTCCTCGTCCCTATGACGTTGAGGAGGTGACCCGAACCACTGCCCAGAGGGTGTTATCGGCACGACCTTTACCCGAACCGATGACCAACCAGTAAGTTTTGAAGGCAGGACATCTTGATTTAGGATAATTCCTTGCCATTCAGGATTGAAGTAGCTGTTTCTCCAATTTTTGTCGGAGAAATGACAAACAAATCTGATACAACTCAAGCATTTTCTAATAGCATCAGGTGAGTAGTGTCGAGGGTAGTCTCGGGCGAAGGCGAAAAGTCTACGGGTGCAAAGCGGGCGCGAACGCGACGTTGAACACACTCAGACAATTGCAAAATACTTCCGGGGAAAACTGAACCTTCAAACCTTCCGGGGCGGACGCTCCTACTAGGCCGTGTGGGTAGGTCCGCCCTACCTGGCCGCGCCCTACCTGGCAACTCCAATAGGAGTGTCCCCCTGGAAATTTTAGAACTTCAGTTTTCCCCGGAACTATTTTGATTGTCTGAGCATATCATAACTGGGCGCATGTGATGATCACATGATTGAAGAGGTGACCGCTTACGCGCCGCGTTCGCATGCACATAGCTCATATATCATCCACCTTCATCTGAAATCAGTCTCTAGATCTCATATGATCTGAAAGACCAACAATCACAGAAGAAAAAACCTCAATAATGCACTGCTGTTTTTCCCTCACTGAAACATAGCATACTGCACTAGCCTCTCAACTATGTTAATTTTTGATAAAATCCTATTTCAGGGAAAGACCATCATTGCTTCAAAGTGCCTTAGCGAGGCAAAAAGTATGTTGATAGATTTAATTTACCCTTAATAAATAAAACAACTTCCTACTGTTTCAGGTCCACGCTGCTGATGTAAAGCCAATGAAATCCCAACAAGATTAAACTCCTCCATAACGTTCTTCCTTTAAAACGGGTCATATACAAAGTGCAGATTATATGTTCTCAAGCTCAAAATATACTCCGATCATTTCACTGTGTCCTTTTTCTCGGTGCTCACCTATTCTTCGCTTACTTTTGATAATGTCACCTATATTTCGCTTACATTTGAAAATGCCCTTGCATTAAATATTTCATTTCTTTTGCATATACACTTTGCAGGAACATTCGTCGAAGAAAAAATACGGCACAAATCTTAAATCATTATAAATTCTTCTGAAGTCGTGGCTTGTGATCGGAGTAAGACCTACGATACTGAAAAAGAAGTGCTTTCAAGAAATTCTCCACTTTTATGCAAGCTAAAGGTAATTCACCGACTGCACAAACGGGCCGTGTTTGCGGCGACCGCGACGCACGGCTGAAAAGTTGCAAGAACAAGACTTGTATTGTGCTGGGACAAGCTTTCAACGCGCATCGCGTGCTTCGAGCGACTGCCAGAATGCGGAGATAGATAGTTTGCTAAACATTGACAGAGTGATCCTTGCTGTGAGGAAACACTCTACTTTTGCCTCTGAAAGAGAAAGAAGCAGGTCAAACTTGGTCTTGCTGGCAGATCAAAGACTTTATGCAGCAAAACACTTCTTCTAGGAATTCCTAAGCTTCACAGATAGATTTCAAAAAATTTTGCCGAAATACTTGTAGGTTACTCTAGAAGCACCCTGCTTTTGCCTTTGAAAGAGAGAAGAGCAGGGCAAATTTGGTCTCACTGGCAAAAAAGGCTAGAGAATTTATGTAACAGAACATTTTTTAAGCAATTCTAAGGCTTAAGAAACTTTGCCGAAAGTTAATTTTGAGATCTTCCACTCTAAAAACATCCTCCTTCTGCCTTCAAAAGAGAAAAAAGCATGAAACTGCTGATAGAACATACCGGAGACTTTATGCGACAGAACACTTTCTCCAAGAACTCCTACGCTTCTCAGATAAATTTCAAAAACACTGAAAGGTACTTTTGACATTCTAATCTGGGAATATTCCATTTTCAAGAGTTCCTAGGTTCCACCGAATACTCTAAGAACAGCCTAACGCCTTCAAAAGATAAAAAAAAAAGCAGGGCAAACTGCTGGCAGAATAGACCAGAGACTTTTTTTGCGATAGGCACTTATTCTAAGCACTCCTATGCTTCACAGATATTCAAACTTCCCTGAAAGATACCTTTGACATTCTCTACTCTAGGAATATTCCATTTTTAAGAGTTTTTAAGAGTCACAATTTTTCAAAAGGGAAAAGAGCGAGGCGAAGCTGGTCTTGCTGAGTGAAAAGACAGGAGCATGCAACAGGACACTTTTTGTAACAAATCCCAGGCTTAAAAAATATAGTGAAAGACTTGTTTCCAGAATAGGCAACTTCAAAGACTTTTGAGGTTGCCTATTCTGAAAACACCCTCCTTGCCTCTGAAAAAGAAAAAGGAGCAGTGCGAGCTGGTCTCGCGGGCAGAAAGACCAAGAGTAAGCGTAGCGCCGCGAAAGCTGCTGTCTGACCCATAGACGAACACTGTATCAGCATAACAGTTTATCAGTTATAACGAAATACGATGATGATGAAGCACAAATGTAACTCCGGGTCGTGTGGTGGAAGAGCATACTGGTTGACCGCGTCGGCGGGAGGACCGTTGGGTTTGGAGACTCGTAGAGGGACGGACAGGCCATAGGAATAAGCTCGGTAGTGGACTTGTCGGCGGGTGCTCGCGGTGGTAGATTATACACCTACTGCGGAATGCATATTCTCATATCTGTAACAGTTGATCTCATTCTCATAATATTTGTCTTTATCCAAGCTCTATATCTTGTTCTCATGACAGCTTCTCGCTCGCACATCTCCATGTACATACGCTTATACAGGGACAGGGCCTGGCACGCGTTGTTTTGGAGCATTTTTGAGAACGAAGTCCCCCATGACTTCGCGAAAAATTACGAAGTCTCTAAAAGTCATTAGGGAAGCCGTCATTCTAACATAAAAAAACAAAAAAAAACACATTCTGAGGTATCTAATATGACGGCACGAATGGGTGCATGTCGTCTGTTCAATAAAGCTCTAACAGCTTACGTGTTCTAATAACACATCAGGAGCCACCATACTCCACTACAGGCGCCACCCATTCGCCTAAGGCTACAATAAAGCCTACAGCTACCACATAATATGACAAAAAGCAAAAAAACATTCTGAGTTGATTAACGGCTCCGTCATTGAGTATGGTACTATTTTAGTGTTCGGTGTGTTGAAAGCCTCTTAAGCCAACCAAATCTGTGGCCTCAGCAATCTGGCGATGCATTTTTCGCCACATCGTTCAAAGGACACCGCAAGTGACTGGAGCGCGATAACTATCAGTGCATAGGTTTACGCTATTTTTGGCTCAAAAACAAAGGAGAGGCAGTGGTTTGCTTGCTCTCTTCACTATATGATAGGCTTTTGAGCGTTCTAGTCGTCCAAATCAAAAAGGTCCAAAACTTACGTAAACTCTCCGATATTTATGCTCCGAACAACCCAGTTGGTATGGTGTTGGTCTAGAAACCAACAAATTCGGGAACGGGACACATGAGTTTTTGGAGCATTTTAATAATATAGTTTGGAGTGTTATTGTATGCACATAGCTCAAATTTGGTGTCATTTGATTGTTTGTGCGCTGTAAACAAACCATTTGTTTGTTTGAGTCTTGCGTTTGAAATTCGCGCGCTTGCGAAAGAACACGTCCAACTCGTAAAACCTGACATGTTTGTCGTTCTTCCTCTCGGCGCTCCGCCCAGGACCTTGAAAAAAAGGATACTCCCGTTGCTTCCAGATACGAAGCCCAGTTTGACCCCAGACCATCTGTGCAGGGCCCTGATCAGGGACTCCGTTTGACAGAATACTTTTTCAAGAGTTCCCAGGTTCAAAAAACTTTGCCGAAAAACGTTTTTGAGATTTCCTACTTTAAGAACACTCTACTATTGCATTCAAAAGAGAAAAGAGCCAGGCAAACTTCATTCGCCTGGTAGAAAATACCACGGATTTGTGCGACGGGATATTTTTTTCAAAGCAATTAGGCTCAAAGGCAGTGTCTCGGCAAAATTTCGTTTTCCAGATTTTTACCTTTTCAAAACATTCTCGTTCTGAGACATTCAAATGTGGGCTTTCTAGGGCATGAAGATGGCGAATGAGCTTTTTCCGAAGCTTTCCAGGTCCGCATTCAGTGAAGATACGCTGGAAAAGTCACGCCCCGTTTCCTCGTTCCAGGCCCCGCTCTACTCATTTTTGCGATTTTCATGCGTTGAAAAGCCGAGATGTGGATTATTTGTGGCGAGAAGGCTCTGAAAAGGTGAAAATCTGGAGAACGAAATTCTGCCGAGGCACTGCCTTGAGAAACTTTGCCGAGGGATACTTCTGAGATTTTATGCTCTGGGAACATCCTACCTTTGCCTCCAAAAGAGAATATAGCCGCTCGGTATCGCTGGAAGAAAAGACCAGGGACACTACAGTGTCCAAAAGTCTTTAAGCCTAATATTTCCTCAGCTGTAACTGCACGATGCAACATTGACATATGAATTCAGTAGGAATCTTGTGAAAAGCCTACATTTCGACAAACCCCATTGGGCCTTCACACAAGCTCTCACACTCTTGCGGAACGCATGCACTGTGGCAGGCAGGTAGTTGACGTTGAGAATGTCTAATATCTTCTGAAGGAAGCGTTCTAGACTGCCCAAAATTTATTGTGGAGCAGAGCAAGCCTTGCTTTTCATGACTGATCATGCAGAAAAGTCAAGGGGTTTTGAGCCGGCGATTAAAAGCGCATTGATCTCAGATGCATGTCCGTGAGATCTAACAAAAGTGTAAAAATGAAACAATCAAGTTTTTCAGAACATCAAAAGACAGCAACTATGGTGTACATGGAGTGACTTTGAGGTGATATTTCAGTGAGAAATGCAAAGCTTACAGCCGGAGTTGGTGACGTAAACTGAATTGGTGTGAATTTTCAGCTTTTTTGTTGTTTCCGAGAACTTTTTTTCTCATAAGCACTACGCTATTGAGTATTTGTATCTTAATTCCACATTAATGAACAGAGATTACTGAATAGTTTTGCACTGTTAACGTAAGATGAAGCTAGCGGTACAGTATGCAGCTCAAGATTCCGCAAGCTCCACAGGCAAGAGAGCTATAGACGTTCGAATAGGGAGTACACTTACATTGAGTTGTCCTCAAAATCATAGTACTGTTTGCTCCGAAAAATATCTTGAGAATGTACAACGCAAACGGTATGATTTTGTTAAGGAATACCAACAACTAGACGATATACTCATGCGCAAAATTTGACTGAAAAGCGAGGAGTACTAACAAAGTTTCTGCGTTGGAAAATTAGGCTTAAAGACTTATAGACACCTTGTATGCAACAAAACACTTTTTTTTACAATTCCTAGACTTGTAAGACTTTGCCGAAAAGTGCTTTTGAGTTTTTTATACTCTATGAGTTCTCTACTCTTGTCCTCAAAGGAGATAAGATTGGGGTGTACTTAGTTACGCTGGCAGAAAATATTAGGGATTCGATATCTTATGAGTTTCCTAAAAGCTGCTGTCAAAAAAGTTATGTATTTGTAGTTTTCGTCTCCCTCAAATAAAAGATTAACACTTTCCAAGGTAAAGCAATGTTTTATAAAATTAGTCCGAGCTTTGGTCTAAATCAGCTGTTCTTCATTAAAGGTGATATCTTTGCTGATTTCCAGCGAAAAGATCTAGAAATTGTTTTTTGGATTAGGATTTCTGCGCGAATGATAACAAGGATAAATTGCAGATAATTTCCCACCGTTAAATTTCTTTTTCGGGGCGTAGTATCCTGTTTCTACTACTATTCACAACTCGCGAGACATCATACCCTCGATACATAGAGCCACGTACTCTGGTAACCTTCACTTTGAAGGCTATGAGGGGACAAAATCTTCATCTGAAAAAAAGAACAGAAGTAATCCGGGGCTTCGCCCCGATTGTGATTATCCTGACTATATCGGAACGAATGTTAATGAAACAAATATAGGGAATAATATCTTTAGCTTATCTCGGCGAAACCGAGAATTTGCGTTTTCTATTCCTTTTTTTTACCTTAAAAAGAAGGTTTCTATGGAATTTTCGCCAAATTTCAGGGCAACATTTCTCAGTTATCCTCTCC